CCGCGGACCTTTAGGAGCTGTGGGTCCCTCCAGCAGGTTCTCCACATCCGGGCGGTAGTGGGACCCGGCTGGGGGCGGGGTCGCGCGCTCTGAGACACCCAGGTACTCAGCCCCGTCCCCAACATGACGGTTAGGTCTGGGCTGGCGTTTTAAACCGGCGTCTTGCTTCCGGCCACCAGCCGCCTTGGGAAGGTGCCCAACCAGCCACCTCGCGGTTTCCGAAGCCCCGGCCGAGGGTGAGGACCCCGTTGTCAGTGGGGGGCCTAGCGCCGCTCACCGTCTCCCGGAAGCCGCTCCCCGGCCTGGCCGCGCTCATCATCACCATCGCCATCGTCATCGTCATCGGCCCGGGACGGGAGCTGAGCCTCCATTACCCACTTGGTTCTGGCTTTGAAACTTGCTCAGGGTCAGGGAGGCCAGGGACCCGGTTCCGCCTCAGCTCCTGACCTGCGGGCCCTCCGCCCTCCGGGCCCCACAGAGGTCAGCCTCAGTCTGGGCCTCCAGGCCTTGGCCGCTGGGCTGGGCTGCGGAGAGGGACGGGTTCTGTGTTTGTCCGCCCAGCGTGTGCCTTGTCAGCAGGAGGAAGGTGGTTGTAGGCAGGCGCCCCCCAGCCTCCCGGGTCCCCTCCCCCCGCTGGCCCGGCCCGGTCAGCCCCGATTCGGGAGGGCCGACCAGACCCCACGTGTGCGTGAATTCCGGCACCGGCCTCTGTGGGGATGATCATACTCTGTTGAGGTTGTGGGGAAGGTGGAGTGATTCCACGGAAAGGTTTGCATGTGGTATTGACAGTTCAAGGGCAATTATTAATAACATAGGTCCTTGCTCAGTCCAGGAGCCTGAGACACAGCCCAGCTCTAGAGCAGGGGCCGGGCCACTGCAGGAGGGAGGGAGCCAGGTGGCTGGCCCATCCTCACCCAGGCCCTCTGCCCTGTGGTCTCTCTCCAGGGAGCTGCCCCGTTGGAAGATTGCCTCCCAGGCCTCCCGTGCCCTGAGCGGTGAGCAGGTTGGGATGGTATCCAGGGAAGCCCCTGAGCCTGCCCAGTGCCTGTGCCCTTTGCTGCCCGGCCCGAGTGCCAAGGATGTGCTTCGGAGAAAGCACAAGCGGAAGAGCCGGCAGCACCAGCGGTTCATGGCCCGGAAGGCCCTGCTGCAGGAGCAGGGGCTGCAGATCTCGCCCCCGGAGCCAGCATCCTCCCCACCGCCCGTGCCATCGGAGGCACCGCCAGGCACCGAGGCCGCCAGCCGTGGGAGGCAGGCTCGCAGGGCTGACTCTGGAGGTGCCCCCTGCGACAGAAAGCCCTCCCCCCGGGAATCGGCAGGGCCCTTGCCTAGCAGATGCGTGGCTATCGACTGCGAGATGGTGGGCACGGGACCCTGCGGGCGGGTGAGCGAGCTGGCCCGCTGCTCCGTGGTGAGTTACCATGGCGACGTCCTCTACGACAAGTACATCCGGCCTGAGATGCCCATCGTGGACTACCGCACTCGCTGGAGCGGCATCACCCGGCAGCACATGCGCAAGGCCATCCCCTTCCAGGTGGCCCAGAAAGAGGTGAGGCGGGTGGGGACTGTGGGTCAGTGATGGGGTGGGAAGGGCGTCCCTGGGGCTGAGTCACCACTTGGAATCCCCAGACGTGCGTAAGCGTAAGAAACACCTCAAGCCTTGCTGATCTCGGCTCCTAGCCCCAGATCGCTCTGGGATTCTGATTCCTTAGGTCTCTGGGCCTGCGGAGGCTCTGGTGTGTGGGCCTAAAGCTCATCATGCTGTGGAAACGGGCACACTAAAACCTCCGAGCTTATGGGGAAAATGGGGTTAGGGACACAACACTCAAAACATGTCACAGCGACACAGCAAAAACAAAAAGGCCTGGCCTCCACACCCGGACACAGTACCCCAGTTTGGCGCATGTTAGATGGTTAAGAAATGCATATATACACCCAGTAACAACACGCACCCAATAGCGACGGCACTTTACCTGGAAGGAGACCTGGAGCTTCCTCGTGGAGGCGGGTGTCAGAAGGGCTGAGCTTGTGTCCGGTGAAGTGACCCAGGAAGTTACCTGAAATCACATGGGAGGTGGGGGCACCAGGTGAGGTGGCTGTGGCCTCAGGTGAACGGGGCTCCCAGGTGGGTGTCTAAGGCGTGTGCCTTCCCCGAGCGTGGCTTCCTGCATTCACTTAGTGTTTCTCAGGGCAAGATCACACCTTCTCAAATCATGCTTTAATATCGGTGGGGGCACCAGGTGAGGTGGCTGTGGCCTCACGCAGGTGAACGGGGCTCCCAGGTGGGTGTCTGAGGCGTGTGCCTTCCCCAAGCGTGGCTTCCTGCATTCACTTAATGTTTCTCAAGGGCAAGATCACACCTTCTCAAATCATGCTTTAATATAGCGATCATGTTGGGACATTTTACATTTTAAAAAAAATATATTTTAATTGATTTCAGAGAAGAAGGGTGAGTGAGAGAGAAAAACATCAATGATGAGAGAGAATCATGGATCGGCTGCCTCCTGCACGCCTCCCCCCAGGGATCGAGCCCGCAACCCAGACATGTGCCCTGATGGAGAATTGACCTCAACCTATTCATAGGTCGACACTCAACCACTGAGCCACGCCGGCTGGGCAACCCTGCTTATTCAAGCAGTAGGTATAGGGTCTGGACTCGCACTTGGCAGCGTGGTGGACTGCGCTCCTGGCCGCCCCTGTCCGTGCTGCCTCCCTGCAGAGGGATCTTCACCCCCTGGGCTGGGCCACCAACAGCGGGGCCTTCCTGACTCTTCTCTCCGCTCACAGATCCTCAAGCTCCTGAAGGGCAAGGTGGTGGTGGGACACGCCCTGCACAATGACTTCAGGGCCCTCAAGTACGTCCACCCTCGGAGTCAGACCCGGGACACCACTTACGTCCCCAACCTCCTCAGCCAGCCCAGCCTGCACACCCGGGCCCGGGTCTCACTTAAGGAACTGGCCCTGCAGCTGCTGCACAAGAAAATCCAGGTATGTGTGCGTGTGGGGGGCGAGGGGCAAGCAGGCCTCGCCTCCCTGCAGGTGGGCCCCAGGCTGGGTGGTGGGGCTGCGCCTGCAGCTCCCCATTATTTCTAACCAGTCCAGGCCTCGGGTCTGCATGCGCACGCAGCCCTGGGCGTCCCTGTGCAGCCCCCTTCTTCCAGGGGTACACCTCTTCCAGGCTCCTCTCTCCGGGTCTGTCCCCCCAGCTCCAGGCTCGATGCCTGCCTTTGCAACCAGAGATGGAGCCTCGGTTAGGGCAGCTCCTAACTCCTGCTTCTACTGCCCGTCACCTCCTCATCCCCCTGCTCTTCAAGCCCAGGGCGGCTTTTATCTCGTTTATATTTGAGGGAACACTTGTGCCATGGCTGAGGCTCCCGCGCTTCTGCCTGGAACACTCACACCGTTCTGACAGTCTCGGGCCTGTGCACAGTGCCTGGAGTGACCGTGGGCTCTCGTCCGCAGGTGGGCCAGCACGGACACTCGTCCGTGGAAGACGCCGTGACGGCCATGGAGCTTTACCGGCTGGTGGAAGTGCAGTGGGAGCAGGAGGCCAGCCGCCTCTGGACCCGCCCCGAGGACAGGGAGCCCGACAGCAGCGTGGACGTGGAGCAGTACATGCAGGACCAGTACTGGCCCGAGGACCTGGGCCCGGGCTCCAGCGGGGGGCAGGGGGAGACGCAGGACAGGAGGGCGTGAGGGAGGAGAGGCTTGGGGTGGCCTCCAGTCAGGAGGGGGGCCAGGAGGGCACTGGGCACATCACCTGGCCTGAGGGGATCGTCTGTCCTGACTCCCGTCCCTACAGCACAGCCCTCTTTCCAGGCTGTAGTCACCCCTCAACCCCGTGGTTTTGCTGATGGCACTTTATAGACGCCACGAATGTCAGGTGGACCAGCTACAGGCCCCGTGGGAGCAGGGTCTGTCCCAGGCTGTCACTTCCCGTCCCCGGGAGGAGTGGGGTGCATGTCCGCTGGGGCTGGGGCTCCGGCAATGGTGAGCGAGCCCGCCCTCCTTCAGGCACTTTGGTTGATAATCACCGTGGTGGCTGGGTTTTCTCCAAATTTCACCCCCCACCCATTTCCTTGTTCACTAAGGGGCGATTTGGGGCACTGGGGTCACTGAAAGCTCAAGTCATACAGACCTTTGAGCCCCTTCATTGCTTGTCCCTGTCACTTCGTAGCTTTGAGACCTTAGGCAGCTGTGTGGCTTCACTCTGGAGCCGGTAACATGGGGACAATGGTACGACCTACCTCAGGGTGGTTATGAGGATGGAATGCCCGCACGCATCACGGAGCCCAGCACACGCAGGCCCTGGTCCACGTGAGCGGCTGTTTCCTCTAAAGGATCAGTTTCAGCCTCTTCAGGGTGACGCCCCCAGTGGCAGGACTTTGGCCTCGCTTGGCTGCTCCAGCAGGTGGGGCAGGGCCCTCCGTGGTGAGGGCATCACGTGGAGGTTCAGGGTTCTCGCCGCTGTCAGGGCTGGGTGACCCGAGTGTCATCTGCGTCCCTCTGCTGTGTGCGGAGCTGACGGTGGTTGCTCGTGTGGATCTGAGCAGAGCCGCAGGGCGGGGAAGGGAGACCCACAGCCACACCACTGTGACCTGGGCTGCAGGATGATCCGTCACCATTTCCTTTCCCGTCTGCAGCGCAGGGAGTGGCTGAGTCATGTGTGGGTCTGAGCAGAGCCGCAGGGCCGGGAAGGGAGACCCACAGCCACACCACCGTGACCAGGGCTGCAGGGCGATCCGTCACCATCTCCTTTCCCGTCTGCAGCGCAGGGAGTGGCTGAGTCATGGACACAACTGGCCCGGCTCCAGCACTGTGTTCTGGATTCCTCAAAAGTCTAGACGCACAGCTGGACAGTAGCTTCTGTTCCTTTGCCTGTGGGTGGAGGGAGAGGAAGCTGTTACTGGTGTTCTAGAAATGGACTGGGTTCTGAGTCAGCATTGCTGCAACACTGTTCTGGAATAAACCTCAACTGGAAAAGCCAGTGAAGTTGCCTTTTTGTGACTCCTCAAGTGGGGGGCGGGGGCGGCTGATGGAGGGACGGGGGGAAGTGCTGGGACGCCCAGTCTTGCTGGGAGCCTTGGCCCTCACGGTGGGCGGCTTTCACGACGATGCTTTGGGAGGTGGTGGTAAGAACATGAGAGCTATGGAATTTATACCGTATACATACCTGAAGCATTTTATAACTGCCCCGTTAGAGAGCACAAGTTTTACTTATAAAATACACAGCATACAATGTATCGTGAACCATCTCTCAGTGTCCAGTTCAGCAGCATTAAGTGCATTCACACTCACTTCCAGAACGGTTTCATCCCGCAGAACTGAAACTACCCTCATTGAACTCTAACTCCCCATTCCTCCCTCCCTCCAGCCCCTGGCAACCACCTCCTACTTTCTGTTTCTATGAATTTGACTAGATACCTCATGTGAGTAGAATCCTACAAGATTGCTTTTTGTGTGACTGGCTTATTTCACTTAGCATAATGTCCTTAAAGTAAATCCATGTTGTATGTGTCAATTTCCTTCATATGTATGTATGTATATATATTTTAAATATATTTTATTGATTTTCTACAGAGAGGAAGGGAGAGAGACAGAGAGTTAGAAACATCGATGAGAGATAAACATCGACCAGCTGCCTCCTGCACATCTCCTACTGGGGATGTGCCCGCAACCCAGGTACATGCCCTTGACCGGAATCGAATCCGGGACCCTTGAGTCCGCAGGCCGACGCTCTTGTATATATATTTTAGAGAGGAAAAAAGGAAGAGAGAAACATCAATGATATCAATGATGAGAGAATCATTGACAGGCTACCTCCTACCTGTCCCCCTACTGGGGATTGAGCCTGCAACCTGGGCATGTGCCCTGACTGGGAATTCAACCGTGACCTGGCTCACAATATTTCAGAGAGGGAAAAAAGGAAGAGAGAAACATCCATGATGAGAGAGAATCATTGATGAGCTGCCTCCTGCACGCCCCCTACTGGGGATGGAGCCTGCAACCTGGGCATGTGCCCTGACTGGGAATTCAACCGTGACCTGGTTCACAGGTCGACGCTCAACCACTGAGCCACCCGGCCGGGCCTCTCTGAGTTTTTATGTGATGCAGTAGGAGTTGCCCGTGTAATTTTCTTCACAAAAGCATGAGCTCATCAATGAGTTCAGAGACTGCCCGCCTTACTCACTCTGCATCCCTATCACCGCAGACAACGCCTGGTGTCAGAAGATGCTCCCGTAACAGCAATCAATGGAACGAATGAGTGAATGAAGGAGATAATCTATTATCATTTTTCTACCTTTCCTGATGTATGAAATTCTTTTTATGTGTTATGGACTGAAGTATATTAGATGCTATTAAATGCTCACGTGTATTTTATTCCTAACCAGTGACAGTGCAATAAGTTTTGTTTTTTTAAAAATGAATGCACAAATTTGAACTCAAGGATAAGAATCTTGAGAAGCAACCAAATAGGTCCAGGACGCAGTAGGCTACAATGGCCACTAGGGGGAGACAGAACCTTTCAAAGAGCAGCATGAGAGGAAAATCCAACAGCACGGAGGTTCTGCTCCCCGAACTGCCAGCAGAGCTCGCTGCCATTACATCGCTATTGCCATTGCACTGTGTAACAGCCAGCTCCCCAGGACAAGCTGGGACAAGATCAAGAAAATGCCCAACCAAGGTACATGCCCTTGACCGGAACTGAACCTGGGACCTTTCAGTCTGCAGGCTGACGCTCTATCCACTGAGCAAAACCAGTCAGGGCAACTCACGTGTATTTTATTCCTAACCAGTGAGAGTTCAATAAGTTTTGGTTTTTTAAAAATGAATGCACAAATTGGAACTCAAGGATAAGAATCTTGAGAAGCAAGCAAACAGGTCCAGGACGCAGTAGGCTACAATGGCCACTAGGGGGAGACAGAACCTTTCAAAGAGCAGCATGAGAGGAAAATCCATCAGCACGGAGGTTCTGCTCCCCGCACTGCCAGCAGAGCTCGCTGCCATTACATCGCTATTGCCATTGCACTGTGTAACAGCCAGCTCCCCAGGACAAGCTGGGACAAGATCAAGAAAATGCCCCCACCCCCCAGCTCAGGCAGTTCACGTGCCCTTTATACACTCCCCCCAGCTTTAAAAATTTCACATAAATGGAAGAAAAGTATTTCCCCTGTGGATGACAATCGAATCTATTAAAAATTCACCTGGAAAAAAAGCAGAACTATAAGCTCAAGAATAAAAACATTAATTTTTAAAGCTGTGTGCAATTATCTTCTGCCTCCAGCAACGTTTCTGTGAAAGAACTGTTGACATATTCAATTTCATCTCCCCGAGTAAAGAAGCCTCCGGCATGTGCCAGCTAGCCGGGGAGTCCCAGCCCAGAGAGTTATGGTCCTATTGGTCCAGTTTCAAAGGCTTCGTATGCAACCGAGTGCAGTGAGAACAACAGTTCCCACAAACTCCTCTCGAAAGATCAGAATGACCCCATCAATATTTCCAGGACCATGATAAGCCCCAGATGTTATCACAGGCGGGAGCGTGCAAACTTTCAAAGCCCCAGTCCGCCAGTGACGCTGCTTCAGAAACAGAGTTTAGAGTGTTTGGAGGGAAGACAGTCTCCCTCTGGAACGCTGAGGCGTGGCCATGCCTTACTTCCATAGACAAGCTACAGGCCCTGGCTGGTGTGTCTCAGTGGTTAGAGCGTCGGCCCACGGACCAAAGGGTCTCGGGTTTGATTCCGGGCACATACCTGGGTTGCAGGCTCGATCCCCGGCACCGGTTGGGGCGTGTGGGTCAAGGGCATGTGTGGGAGGCAACCAATCGATGTGTGTCTCCCGCATTGATGCTTCTCTCCTCCCTCCCCTCCACGCTCTCAAAAATAAAATAAAATAAAATAAAATAAAAAGCTATTGGCTCCACTGGTTTCCTGCTTATCTCTAAGGCACAGGAAACCTCCAAAATCAAGCTCAGGAATAAAGGGACAAAGGATAGAGCCCAAAGACCAGAACAAGGCAAGAAAACAACTCTAAGAATAAGTGGCTGATTAAAAACTAAAACCACATTAGGTGGCCTATTGGTTCCGGGAGACAGAGCTGGGGGGGAGGCGGGGAGGCTGGGAACCAGCGCTGACTTCACAGGCAGTGAAAGACCATAACTTACAAGTCTTTTTAATGAGAGCGCTTCCATACTCTAATTACACCCTAATTATAATGACGCCCCTTCTTTCTTCAAAGGGCTCACGCGTGCTTCTGGAACATTCTCCGTCAGAGTCCCCTCATTTGCGGATTTAAAGAGAGAGTTGGCGAACCTCAGCCTGAGTTAAAGTGGCAGCTCTGGTGGCTGACTTCAGCTAGGTTTGCCCTGACCAGACCGGGCCAACTCTCGGCTCCTGAAATAACAGCACCCCCTGCCCGCCGCCGCCACACACACACCCCCAGTGCAATTCTCCTGAGAGAACGCCATCTCCCCAATTATGCAGACACGTCCTTGCCCTGTGCACCCGATGTGCGAGCCATTAGTCACTTCCATCCCCAGCCCAGGAACTGCAACCTCCAAGGCACACGGACGGGCAGGGCAGGGCTGCGGGCTCATTTGTGAAACCGCCTACAAGCCCGCGGGCGGCCAGCTCGGCCAGGGGCTCCAGGAGGCTCGCCTGCCTGCATGTCTAACGCCCGAGGCCACAGGGCAAGTCACTTAGCCGCCTCATTAGGATCACAGCCCTGGCCCTGCCATGGCCTCCTTCCCAGGTGCCTGGTTACCCCATTCATGTCTGTAAAGATCCATTAAGCCTTCGCGCTGAAAGGCACTGTAAAAGCCAAAATGATCACTATTATCGCCAATAAACTCCAGGGCACTCTTCCTGTCACCGGCTGAGGACAACGGCCCTCTAATGAGCTCCCCGCAGCCTCGGGGTGGCTTTGACGCTGACGGGCACGGACACCAAGAGGGAAGGAGCGCCAATGCTTTCACGTGGCCAGTGGATTTCATCAGCACCTCCCGAGTCTCCTGGCACCCCCACACCTGCAGCGCGGGGGCGAGGGGGTGCCCACACCATCCAGCCCTGCCCCAGGCCCCCCGCTTCAGGGCTGAGCTGGTAGCAGCCTGCAAGGTGGCGAAAAGCAACGTGGAGACCCACAGACAGCTGCCCTCTGGCTACGTAAAGGTCTTCCCATCCCCACCCGCCTCCCCGTGGGACCCACCAGGCAAATACCCCCCATTGAAACCCCACCGGCAAACTCCATGGTAACACCCCAAACTGAAGGCAGTGCTCGAGTCTGTAACGGGGCTGACCGAGTAGACAAGGACATCTCCATAGGACATCACACCACGCCGCTGCCCATAGAAAGACCCAGCTACTCATTTGCAGCATGTTTATGGGATGAAACCCCCCCTTTATTTTAAATATATATTTTTATTGATTTCAGAGAGGAAGGGAGAGGCAGGGAGAGAAACATCAATGATGAGAGAGAATCATGGATCAGCTGCCTCCTGCACGCCCCACACTGGGGATGGAGCCCACAACCTGGGCATGTGCCTTAACCGGAATCGAACCGTGACCCTCTGGTTCACAGGTCGAAGCTCAACCAGTGAGCCGCGCCGGCGGGGCCAAACCCTTTTTCTTCTTCTCCCCAAGGACAAGCGCCAGCTCTTCA